ATATAAACAAACCACAATAACTACAACAAATGTTAAACCAACACTACCTAATATGAACTAAGGATAAATCAATCAAATAATCATAACAACAAAGTATAACTAGCAAAGAAAAGAACACAATTCAAAAATGGAACACTCTGCCACCCCCATGATATGGGAAAACATGGCGCAGTCCAATTATCCATTCCCCTACTTAAACAGCTTAGAGTCAGTTGGAAGTCCTTTTGTCTGTCAGCCAGAGACCGCCAGCAGCAACTCCCCAGGAACTGGTAACTCAAAAAGAAAGGTATTAATTTCATAGAACATAACTTAAAGATAATGAACCTGAAATTAGCTAAATTGACAAAGTTAACTAAATGTGTGCACCCAAATAGGAAACTATGTCAAATAACTAATAAAACTGTTTTTAAAACTAAAGTGTGTGTCCAGTTATTTTTGTATAATATGTAATGTGCTCAAAACAAAAGAGAGAGTTACCGCCGTGAGTTGTTGTTTTCATGTTTGGCTGCAGAACTCTCGCTGTGACAGCGAGAGACGTAGTGTGCTGTCATATTGAGTCTGCCGGGAATGTGCTCCACCGTAAAGCGGAAGGTTTGCATGGCCAGATACCATCTAGTGACACGGCCATTAGTGTCACTCATTCGCTGCAACCACTGGAGGGCCTTGTGGGAAGTCTGTAATGTGAACTCCCTGCCCAGCAGGTAGTATTTAAGTGAGTCAAGGGCCCACTTCATTGCCAGTGCTTCTTTCTCCAGGGTTGAGTATCGCATCTCCCTAGGGAATAGCTTGCCGCTGATGAAAGCCACTGGATGTGTGTCACCTTGTTGTCCCTGCAGAAGAACGGCTCCAAAACCCCTCTCAGAGGCATCCGTTTTGTAGAATGAAAGGTTTATCGAAGTCAGGACTATAGAGGACTGGGTCCTTACCCAGAGACTGCTGAATGTCCCGGAATGCAGCCACGGCCTCCTCCGTTCACTGGACTTGGTTGGAACACCTTGATCTGGTCTGATCTGTGAGCGGGGCAGCCCTGGCTGAAAAGTTGGGGATGAATCTGTGATAAAAACCTGCCATCCCCAGGAAGGACCTCAGCTGCTTCCTGGTTTGAGGCAGGGGCAGGACTCCAGTGCATGTACCTTGTGAACTTGTGGTTTGATCACTCCATTTCCAATAATGAAACCCAGATGCTCAGTCTCAGGCTTGGCGAAGACACACTTTGCCGGGTTAATAGTCAGGCCCGCCAATTGGAGATGCTCCAGTACTTCCCTCAGGTGCTTGAGATGCTCCTCCCAAGTAGCACTGTAAATCACAATGTCATCAAGATATGCACAGGCATAGTCATCACATCCAAACAATACCTGATCCATGAGCCTTTGAAAGGTCGCAGGGGCCCCATGCAGTCCAAATGGCAACACTGTAAACTGGTACAGACCCCACGGGGTCCGAAAAGCAGTCAACTCCCTGGATTTCTCAGTCAGAGGTACTTGCCAGTAACCCCTGCACAGGTCGATGGTGGTCAGGTATCTTGCTCTCCCCAGGCGTTCAATCATGTCATCAATACGTGGCGTTGGATAGCAATCAAACTTTGACACAGAGTTCAGGAATCGGAAATTAATACAAAACCGCATTGTAGCATCCTTTTTTGGAACCAAGACCAATGGATTACACAACTCACTTTTTGAGCACTCAATGATTCTCAGTGACAGCATCAGGTCCACTTCTTTTTTCAGGGACACCAGGAGACGCTCTGGGATCCTTTAACTCATTCATTTAACTGGAGCCTCCTCTTTTAACACGATATCATGCTCCACCATATTTGTGCGACCTGGGTACTCTTGAAATATTTGAGGATTACATAAAGCCTTCATCTGGTTTTGTTGATCAGCTGACAGATGGCCAAGGTTCTGTGGGGGCTGGTGAGGGCAGATATTGGTCATCTGCCACCTCGTCCTCCTCCACAGCTCTGATCAGCGATACCTCTGCCTTCCTCTCAGGTTTTTCAGACCACTCCTCTAGGAGGTTCACATGCAGCACCCTGCTGGAACGTGGTCGGCCTGCAGTAGTAACTTGGTAGGTGGTGGGTCCAAGTTGTTTCCCTGACATTTTGCCATCAGTTTTCTGTCACTGGTAGGCAGCATGACTAGGACCTTCTGACCTGGAACAAAGGTCCTCTGCCGTGCCGACTTATCATACCAGACTTTCTGGTACCGTTGGGCCTCCGCCGTGTGCTGCTGGGCAAGTTCTGACATCTTTTGTAGCCTGTCTCTCATCTGAACAACATAGGAGATGATGTTAACACCCCCCTCCCTCTGCTGGTCCCCTTCCCAAGCCTCCCAGAGCAAGGTCAGTGGTCCCCTTACCTCATGACCATACAACAGTTCAAATGGGGAAAACCCAGTAGAGGCCTGGGGTACTTCCCGGTATGCAAAAAGGAGGTAGGGTAGCCATTGATCCCAATCAGAACCAGTGTCATTGACGAACTTCCGGAGCATTTGCTTGAGGGTCTGATTGAACTGCTCCGTCAGTCCGTCTGTCTGTGAGTGGTAGGGGGTTGTTCACACACTGTTGATGCCAAGCAGTTGGTAAACCTGTTTCAGAAGTGTGGACATGAAGTTAGTGCCTTGGTCAGTTAAAATCTCCCGAGGGAAACCAACTTTAGATAAGAACTGTACCAAGGAGAATGCCACAATCTTTGCTTTGACAGATTTCAGGGGAAACACTTCTGGGTATCTGGTAGAGTAATCTGTGATCACCAACATGTAGCGGTTTCCATTTTTGCTTTTTTCCACGGGACCAACAATATCCATACCAAGACGCTCAAAGGGCGTACTAACAATGGGGAGGGGTTGGAGTGGAGCTCTACATGGTCCTTTACCTGAAGTCTTCTGGCACTGAGGGCAAGTCCTACAAAACTGGGCAACATCTGCCCGCAAACAAGGCCAGTGAAAGTACCATCTAATGTGAGCCAGGGTCTTGTGCTTCCCTAGGTGGCCAGTCCAGGGAACAGAGTGGCCCAAGAGAAGTACAGTGTCTCGGGCCACCTTGGGAACTATTGGCTGCTTAGATGATCCATGTTGATGATAGAGAATACCATTCTGCAGGAAATACTCCTCCCCGGAACTGTACTCAAACTCACTCTCCACCTCTCTCTCTTTAGCACTACATAATAAAGTCACTTGACTGGGGTCATCATGTTGCATCTGAACAATGTCTGAAGGTATCTTGAAACCTAGTGACAAGTCTGGAGCTACTGCAACTGGGGATTTTATGACAGTGTGCTGGAACCTCTCCTGCCTCTTGCCTGAGTGTTATCCGGGGCTTCCCTGGTTGAGTGTCCAGGTCTGCATCATAAAAAGGCAGGGCACTGAGGGTAACAGAGGGGTCATCTACCACCTTGGCTTGGACTCTGGTTATAGCAACATTGCAATTTTGAGGTTGGTTTAACAAATCAAATAAGACTGGCAGGTCACTACCCAGCACTACTGGGAAAGGAAGGTTGTCAGCAACACCAATGTTCAACAGGTAGGGTTGTCCTTGCACTTCAATGTAAACATCAGCAGTGGGGTAAGGTTTCTTATCACCATGTACACAGCAGATGTGAATGATAACATTAGATGGTATAAACTGCCTGTGCACCAGGGTCTGATCACTGCCAGAGTCAATTAGGGCCTTCAGAGCTTTACCATTAACCCTGACGGTAGTCATCTTCATGGATTCATTGCTGTAATATTTACAGTCATTTTGCCATGGCACAACACACATCTGAGTGAGCTTAGCAGGATTCTTTGGGCACATTGGTTTTGTGTGACCCTCTTGGCCGCACAGGTAGTAAATAGTGAAGCAGCCTCTGCAGCCGTTGAGGGATCGTGTTCCCTGATCCATACCAGCAGCTCAGGAGATAGCATCTGCAAATACTGCTCCAAGATTATAATTTCACCAACAGTTTTACCTTTTGGTTGGATCCATTTCCCATAAAGCTCCTTCAGTCTTACATACAGCTCCTTGGGACTTTCACCAGTATCAATATCTGTTGAACGGAATCTCTGTCTGTAGGTCTCTGGGTTAATGTCATATTTCTTTAAAATGGCATCTTTAACACAGTCATAATCATGAGCCTCATCTAAGTCCATATTCACATAGGCCCCTCTAGCCTTACCAGTAAGCAATGGAATAAGGCGAAAAACGCAGTCAGACTAAGGCATGCTGCTGCCATCATCTCAAAAGTGAGTTGTTGTTTCCATGTGTGGCTGCTAGTGCGGCCATCACAGTTAACAATAATAAATCGATCCTCTGGATCTATAGTAGTGGTATTATGATTGAAGTGTGTTTCTCTATTTATCATAATGGTGACACCTCTTTGTTTTGAGTTATAACAGGCTGAGTACGAGTGAGGTAACTGTGGTGAGTTTAGTTTATCTGCTGTCTTGGATAAATTAGTCTCCTAAAGTGAGACAGTGTCTGCTTGTAGATTATTTAGATGGTTAAAATTGTTTTATCTCTTTTCACTTGAACCAACATTCCAAAAGGTGAGCTTAAGTGTAGTCATCATTCAACTAACGGATGCAGTGAAGGCTAGCGTGTGTGTTGTATCCTTGTGTGTTTATCTATATGTGTGTGTTTGGTGTGCCTGTATGTATGTGTGTGCGTGTGTGTGTCTATGTGTGCATGTTGTATGTGTCTGCGTGCTAGCGGTATGCCCGACTGTTTGTGAATTAAACAGTATGAAAATAGCACACCGTACATAAATGTAAATATCAGAAAACTCTTTAGGACGCCTATACACCAGTGCACATAGCACCAGGGCAGTGACATAATTTTTAGAAGTTGCACCTCAAAAGTAGAGTACACATGGACAGGCATAAGTCTGGATTTACAACAGTTTTTAAAAACAGTGGCTAAGCCACCTCCACGACCAGTAGTGATGAACATGATCAGTCTGCACTCGTGAGAAGGTGTGTGTTCACATGTAAAGCTGATATCACTGCCTCTGTGTCTCCTCTCAGGGAGAGTGTCTCTTGACTGTACAGCTCGATGATGATGATGTGTGTCGTGCTGAGGGAGAACAAGAGGAGGTGGAGTTTTTTCTTTTATTATCAGGATCCACCCAAAGACATCTGACTAGCACACTGCGAGTCAGCCACGTCACACTGCAGGCTGTGTGTCCAGGTACTGCGCACACACACATGCACACACTATTTTTTGTAAAAGTATTGGGTGTCTCAACCGTTCTCCTGTCCTATAGTAACAATTAACGTATTAGGATCACTCTGAGGGAAATGGTATGAAGGATGGATGTTTGTGTGATTGGGAGAGTGGATGTGTAGGTGGGTGGAGTGATGTGCGGTATTACTGGTAGGTGTAGTCTGTTGCGGTTGTGACCACACCCAGCTGTGCATTACACAATACTACACTGTGAAGTGAACTGTACAGGGTGTGGCAGAGCATGTGGAAACTTCTAGATAGCAGTGTGAGCAGGATCATTAGCCTGGATGTTTCTGAAGGCAGTGGATTGGATGTGTTGTCAGGATGACTGTTCTTTATCTGTGCATATTGTCAGATATGTGTAACTAAAAAGCTGATCATACTATAATAAGTCACAAAGTCAAACATCTGTACAGGAGGTGTTGATTTTCATTAATGGTAGCTTAACACTGATTTAAAGAACAACAAAGTGAGATGAATGGAATTATTTAGTGAATGAGAACAGTATTTTTCTCAAAAGGAGAAACTCACTGGTGACTATGACTGCTTTTACTGAATTCAGAAAGGCAAGAGGTAAACATGGAGACTGGAGAGTTTCCATTAAGAGCAAATTGCTTATTCACTTTCTGACAGAGAGTTAGATGCTGAAAATATGAAACTATAGCCAGCAGCTGGTTAGCAGCTAACTTAGCATAAATATTGTAAGCCTGGTTTCACCTATCAGAACCTCTCAAAATCAGTGATTGACAAGTAATATCTAATTTTTTTAATCTACAACTAAACTTACAAACCACTGTTTTACAGAGGTTATATGCTTGACTTACAACTAAGAATTGTGCCTTGCCTTTACTAACCTTCATCTAAACTAGCCATCATGATTTACGTTGAACTAGTGCAGTGCCTGTTTACAGGGGCCGATGTGACGCCTCCCTGCGCTTTTTGTTCAAAATGTGCGTCTCACATTGGTTTCACCTACAGCAGGGTAGTCAGGACCGCCCAAACCGAGACAAGACCAAGACTTTTAGGTTCTGAGACCAAGTCGAGACAAAGACAGAGGGCAAAATTTGATGGTGGTGACCCATTATTACTGCACCTCTTCAACACAGTTCTATCTAAAAAAGTTGGTGTCTCCAACCACTCTGAACTGTCATTTAACAGAGGAATGGCTGTCTCTCCTCCTTCCTTCTCTTGTTTGATAAAAAACCAAATGGATTTCTCAGCCCATCTTCTGGTTAGGAGTGAGAGAGACATGGACTGTGTACTCCAAATCTAATAATGTTTTATTCTTCTGAATATTCTATTGAACGCAGTTTTTCCCCTCAGCTAACTATCTGTAAAGGTTTGTTAATCTCACTGGTTACTTGAAACTGTACTGAGGTGAGATCAGTGGTGATCTGAAGTTCCAAGACATCTATAGCTTATATGGCCGGTGCACAGACTCATTATTTTGAAGCCTCACCTTTTTTGGTCTGTTAGCACATAATGTAGCTGTATACTGGCTGTCTGTTAGCTGTTTGTGCTGCCAGTAATGAGGAAGTCCGCTGCTCTCAAACTGGAGGCCTCTTTAGGTGGAGTGCTGTGCCTGAAGCAGCTTTAAAGCCTTTCATTTCAGCTGTCTCTGTGATACATTGCTTTTTGTGTGTGTGTTGTGTGTGTGTGTGTGTGTGTGTGTGTCTTCTATGACAGAATAACATGTATTCAAAATGTATTTATTTGTGTAGGTGAAATGTATATATATGAGTGCAAAAATGTGTGTGTTTGATTTATGTTGAAGGTTTTTCATATTTATGGTCAGAAATGATTTCCCTGTGTATGTAGGCCATAATGTGTGTGAGCAGGTCTCGGTGACGCTGTGTTTGGCTCGTCCTGGTGAACCAGTGGACACATACTCACAGGTGGCATTCTGCTTCGTACAGGTAACAGCACAGTTGTTTCACTGAATTAAACTGGACACTTTGAGTTTCAGGTTTGCAACGTATGCATTTTTGGGCTGAGCTGACCAGAGGAATAGATGGAAATGATTTATAACAGCAGCTGCTTAGTTATGAGCAGTACAGCCTACGTATTTTGGATCGTACCTGACGTTGTCCTTGGTGGATAAAAATAATTTCGCAGCCTGATTTAGAACATGAATTTGTTTTCATCCTGTAAAGAAATCAAGCATACTACATTTGGTGGTCACTTATTTGGTACACCTGTCCATATCTCAAATATCTAACCAGCCAGTCGTGTGGCAGCAACTCAGTGCATTAAAGCATGCAGACATGTTCAGACCAAACATCAGAATGGGGAAGAAATGTACTGTAAGTAATTTTGAGCATGGAATTAATTATGTTGGTGCTTTGACTACTCCTGGATTTTCACCACAGCAGCCTCTGGAATTTACAGTAAATGCGGAAAACAAAAACCAGACAATGAGCTGTAGCTCTGTGGGCGAAAAGACCTTGTTGCTGTGAGAGGTCAGAGGAGAATAACCAGACTGGATCAAGCTGACAGGGAGCCCGCAGCAAGTAATAAGCAGGCGTTACAATACAAGGGCATCTCTGAACACGCAGCACTAGCTAACACTAGCTAAGAAAAGGGAACTGAGGCTTCGTGTGGGCACAGGCACACCAAAATGGACAGTAAATCACAGAAAAACGTTTAAGGTATAAGCAACATGTTTATACCAAATCTGTCTGCCCTGTGTCCATGGTTCAGGCTGCTGCTGGTCATGGTATAATGGCGTGGGGAATATTTTCTTGGCACACCAGCCGAGCATGACTTTAACTCAACAGCCTGCCTGAGTAAATTTGCTGACCATGTGCATCCCTATATGGCCACAGTTTTCCCATCTTCTAATGGCGACTTCCTGCAAGATAACGTGCCAAGCAAAGCACGCATCAAGCTACTTCCACCAACGTAACAGTGGGTTCAGTAAACTCCAGCAGCCTGCACAGTCACCAGATCTCAGTTCAACAGACCTCCTTTAGCAGGTGGTGGAACAGGAGATTCACAGCATTAATGTACAGCCGACACATCTACAGCAGCTGTGTCATGCTGTCATGTCAGCATAGAGCAGAGTCTCTAAGGAATGTTTCAAGCACCTTGTTTAATCCATGACACCAAGAGTTCTGGAGCCGGGAAGAAGAGGGGGGTCCATATAGGTGTTAGAAAGGTGGACCTAATAAAGTGGCCACTGAATGTATATGCACTGTAAAAATTATAGCATGACAGGTAAATTGATGTTACATTCAAGAAATGACAGAAATTTCAAAGATATGTTTGAGGTTATTTAGAAACAGAGTTTGGCAAGCAGAATGTGCGCACCACATATATTGGTCAGAACTTGTTACAAAACAAATGTGTTGTGTGTTTTAAGACTTTTTCAGTGAAATTTGCTGTTTCTGTCAACCTTTTCTAAGGCGATACATCACAATGATTGAAATGTGACTATTTTCTAAATGACCTGTGCTGCAAGTTCTGGCAAAACAACAAAGATGGACATTAAATATTTTCCTCTTTAAAAGGTCGAGTTTTTCGGAAGAATATTGGCAATGTTCATATCAATGGTGTGTGTTGTGTGTAGGACTTGGCTCTCGACATGGCCCATTTACTGCTTGACAACACAGCTCCGCAGGAAGCATTACTATTGACTGATAAGCAGGTAAGTAGTAGTTTGTTGCTGTTTTTTTTTATTCCCACAAACACACACCATTAGAGTAGGAGAGACCTTGAGGGCTCTAAAAATGTTGCATATATTTGGAAAAGGAGTCACTTTCATTCAACATAAAATGTTTTTTAGGTGTATTTAGACATTAGAATGTTTTTCATACTGCTTCAATTGTCTTAGATATTTGTTTTGATATTGATTTGAATAAAATCAAAGTCTGTCTAGAAGTAAGAAATGTCAGATAACTGAAACAAACAGCATTCAAAGAAATGTTTTTAGAAGCGGAGAGAGGACATAGAGGAATAAACAATGACACGTGTTATTTTTCACCTGTATATTTTTTGTGTGTGTCAGATTCCATTGAAAGAGTGTGAGAGGTTGGATCACAGCCTTGCCTTGGCCCTGAAACACCTCACCCTGCCCCGCCAGACGACAGTTGTGGACAGGCAGATGGGTAACCAGCCAGTGTCTGTCACAGCGACAGACATAAATGCACACACGAACAGACACAACACAAGGACACACAAGGAAACATGGCTGGACGGCGCCACGCTGCTGGACAGCTGCTCTGGTGAGATAGAATGGTACCAGGCAAGTTTGTAAAGGTTTGAACCAGCCGGACCAGCGGTGTTACCTACTCCATCTGTGGCCTCCACTCTCTGTACGCTCTCTGACACCTACCAAGCCCAGATAAATTGTAAAATAGTCACATTTATTAAACTCCAGTGGAAAATAGCAACAGCACATTCAAACATTCATGTGCAAACATGTTTTTAATTAGCAAGCTTTTAGTCAGAGACCTCCTTCAAGGTAAGCATTTAATATGATAAGAATAAGAAAACTGTTTCAAAGTGGATGTAGTGTGTGTCCCAGGTAATTCATCATTAGCATAATGTAAATTAAATCAAGCCATATTTAGAGAAGGCTGGTGGAAAAAAACAAATATTTTAACGTGCTGGGCTTAAAACAAATATTGTTGATCATAGAATTTAATTTAAAATTTGTCTGGCAGTACCTATGTTTAAATAATACGTATCTTCTACTCTGTTTTCTTCTTTCTGACATTTCTCTCTCCACCAGGAGGTGTCTACCTAGCTCTGTTCTATTTTATCATCAGTCCGTCTCCTCACCTTTTATCTTTTTGCTTCTTGTCCAGCTGTTTCCCAGTGCCGGCAGCTCTCCAACCTGCTGCACTTGGCAGCCACTTATGGTCTGGGGACCGTGGCATCGTTCCTCCTGCAGCAGCCGGGAGGCAGGGAGGCGCTAAGGAGGCCCAACACTCAGGGACTAACTCCAGCATGTCTGGCAGAGAGCAGAGGACATCAGCAGCTGAAGGAGTTCTTCTCACAGTAAGTAGCTGAAATTACAGTTGACTCACTGTGAGCTGTTGAAGCACAGTATCTGTTTTTTTCTTGTTGTTTTATTGTTTTGTTTGCCTTTAGGTAGTAGAATATTATGTTTATTAGACTGTAGGATTCTGTTAGTTTGAATGTAAATTCAAACTAATCCATCTAGTCCATCACTATTATACGCGCACAGCTTCACTAAGATGGTGTTCAAAAAAGACAAAATCTAAAAACATTGAGACAAAGAATCTGAGAAATAGAGCTCTGCACGGACCTCAAATCGAAGCCCTAGCCCGGCCTTGGCTTGAGACGCTCAGGTCCGATCCCGGCCCATGTCCCACAGCTAATCAGAATTCTCGGCACAAGCCTGGCCTGAGCCCATGTGTTTTTCCTCCTCCCCATAACACAGCCTGTTGCAGCCATTTCAGTTCAGTTTTGTTTTTATGGCAAAGTGGTAAATTTCTTTTCATTTCTTTATAAATTTAATTTAGAAAAATGTTTGGAGCATTCTTTTGTTTGCTAAATGAGTGAGTTGACAATCAATTTAGCCGCTCAAATCAACACTTGACTTGCCTACTAATCCATAGATATAAAACTTTAAGCATATCACCATGTTATTTTAAATGTTTATTATCTCAAACCACAGTAAAATGGCATTTTTGACAAGCTCAGCTGCTTTCATACAAAGATCCCAGAATAAACGCAGAAAAAATATCCGCCCATATGCTTCATTCGCTCATTCATACCGAACAAAACTGTTGTGGCAAAATCATTAATCCCTGTGTGCTTTCACATAACCATCCGGCTTTCTGGAACCAGTGGCGTGATAGAAAAACACTGTCACGTCAGTGCGCTGGCATGCTGGCTGTGGCTCTTCACACAGACATCATTCCGGCTCTGTTACTACCAACGTTCCCGTCTCAGAAGCGGATAAAAATCTGTACCTTTCACAAAGCGCAGTGAGCCGGCATATTGGTGTAATACTCCCAGAAAATTACGCAGTGTGAAAGCTGTGTGTGCGTGCACAAACAGACTGTGTCACATGTGTCAGTGTGATAGGTTATAAATCTTCTTTTTACCATCTCCAGCTTTTCATAGTTTCTTGTAATTGATGGATGTCCAAAACATAAAAAGGAGAAGCCAAATACAGGCCCAATGCCTGTGTGTGAACTATGATGTGAAAATTGGCCCGAAGCCCGGCTTGGTTCATTAGTGTTCCTGGCTGTTGTAACGGATGTCGTCATGGTCATTAGAGCCACCCGAGGCCAAGACTGAACGACGATCGTTGGTATCTTCACCTGAGGCCAAAAGTGAATGCTTGTTCAGTTGAAAGGACAGCATTGTAAGTGGGGAATAAGTGGTGGCGTAGACCCCCTCCCCTGTTCAATGACAGCTTCTCAACCAGGGTGTAGATGGCTTCCTTGACACCTCTTTCAAACCATCCATCTTCTCTGTCTAAAATGTGCACCTGGTGGTCCTCAAACGAGTGTCCTCTGTCCTTCAGATGTAAATAGACTGCAGAGTCTTGACCTGAGGAGTTGGCCCTTCTGTGTTGAGCCATGCGTTTGTGTAGTGGTTGTTTAGTCTCCCTAATATACAGGTCTGTGCATTAAGAGAATCAGAATCAGCTTTAATGCCAGGTATGTGTACACATACGAGGAATTTGACTCTGGATTGTACAATGCTCACAATGTGCTTACTTATACAATAACACAACAATACAATAATAAAATCAAACACAGGCTACAGTATAGAGAACACATATGTACACCCTATAAACAAAAACAGACAGATTGAGACAATAGTGCAATGAGCAGAGTGCAAAGGATGCAGGAGAAAATTATTATTACCATTAATGTTATTATTGTCGGAGGTGGATGTGATATGCAGGTGCACATACACATACAAGCATACATGTACACAGTGTGATAAGTGCAAATGCTGGAATAAATAAGTATTATGTGCTGTGTTATGTACATGAAGTAGGTGGATTTGGTATACAGGGGGGCTCCTCCTGAAGTCCACGGTCATCTCCACAGTTTTGAGCGTGTTAAGCTCCAGGTTGTTTTGACCACACCAGAGAGCCAGCTGATCAATCTCCCATCTGTTGGCCGACTCGTCACCGTCCCGGATGAGGCCGATGACCGTGTCGTCAACGAACTTCAGGAGTTTGACAGATGGGTCTCCTGAGGTGCAGTCATTGGTGTAGAGGGAGAAGAGCAGTGGGGAGAGCACACACCCCTGGGGGGGGCCAGGGCTGATAGTCCGGGTGCTGGATGTGATGTTCCCCAGCCTCACCTGCTGACTCCTGTCAGTCAGGAAGTCTGTGATCCACTGACAGGTGGAGGCTGGCACAGTGAGCTGGGTGAGTTCGGTGCTGAGGAGGTCCGGGATGATGGTGTTGAACGCCGAGCTGAAGTCCCCGAACAGGATCCTTGCATATGTCCCTGGAGAGTCGAGGTGTTGTAGGATGAAATGCAGTCCCAAATTGACTGCATCATCCACTGACTTGTTAGCCCTGTAGGCAAATAGCAGTGGGTCCAGCAAGGGGCCTGTAATGTCCTTCAGTCTTTCAAAGGACTTCATGACTACAGATGTCAGATCGACAGGCCTGTAGTCATTTTCTCCAGAGATGGAGGGTTTTTTGGGGACCGGGATGATTGTGGAGCATTTGAAGCAGGAGGGAACTTCACACAGCTCCAGTGATCTGTTGAAGATCTATGTGAAGATAGGGGCCAGCTGGTCTGCACAGATTTCCAGGCAGGATGGAGACTAGGGCTGTCCCCGACTAAGGATTTACATAGTCGAATCAGAATCGTCAAGTCCTGCCTATAGTCAATTGATAGTCGAATCATGTGTGTGGTTTTGTGCACGGCGATTGGGGGGACACACACATGGTGGCTTCACTTTAATCTTGAGAAGCTGCACAGCTGCAGTCTCTTTTCATTCAACTTACACTGTATATTTCCAGCTAAACTGAGGCTTTGTGAAGACCCCTTTTTTTCCTCTCTCTCTCTCTCTCTCGCCTGTCATTCACCGGTCTTGTGCAGACTTTTATGTAGCCCTCTGTTTAAAAACGATATAATATTTTTTATGTGGTTCATCAACAGTGACAAATTTTCCAAAAGTCCTGCGAGGTGCGAACAACTTGGCACAACACCAGTGAAGCTGGGGCTCTTCAGCAAGTGTTCCTCCACTGCCACTGCACACATACACGCTACGCCTACACATGCGCACTGACGACCCAGGGTTAGGGTTACAATTTTGGATTTATTTATTTATTTTATTTTATTATTTATTTAGTTTTACTGTTTTTACATTTTTATTTACAGCATTAAACGTTGAAATGTATATTTTAATAGGCTGTATATTAACTTATTGGGAGAAAACCCATATCGCCAAAATGGCATGATCCTTGTTTCACTCCGATGCTTCGACTGTGAGATTGACAGTCGAATCAGGCTCCGCCCATCGAAGCATAGAATGTTCGACTATTCGGGGTCAGCCCTAATGGAGACACACCGTCTGGGCCAGCAGCCTTCCTGATCTTCTGCCTCTGGAAGAGCTGGCTCACATCCTCTTCACAAAATGAGTGCAGGTGAGGGTTCAGAGAGGGGGGGTGAGAGCATGGCAGTGGGGGAAGGTGTCTGTTTGAAGATGGTGTCTTATGTGCATGTGTTCTCACACAGACGCGGTGGATATTTTACGCACGAACCAGGTAAAGCAACAGTGAACACACAGAGATGTTGGTTTCAGTTGTTTGATAGGCTGCGTCATTATTAAGCCGACGTGCAGCTCACCTGCTGCTGTGATAACGGATCGCGGGTGGAAATATACAGAAAAAAGACAAGTTCTTAGTCTAGGGGAGAGAGACAGAGAGAAGTGGGGCAAGCCAGGGTGTTTACCTGAGGTGTAGGTGTGTGTGTGTGAGTGTATCAGAGTGTGGGGAGAAGAGGATTCTGAGTCCGGTGCAAAGCATACTTTGGCTTTAAAACTTCATAAAACAAGACCCAAACAAAGACACGCTGAACGCAAATAGGTTAGTAACCTGTGGTGAGAAAACATGTTTAGCTCAGCTTTTGCCATCTAACGTTAGCTTGCTTCTTGCTTCAGCTATGACTTACGGGAGATTAACTCTGACTGTTGTTCGTTATGAAAAGACTGGTTTGAGAGCCTGGTGGATTGTTGATTTATAGTAGTTTAAGCTGTCAGTGATTACATTGCACATTATGGTTGTGCTCTGTAAGTTAAAAACAGGTTACAGCTTATTGTTGACCATGTAACTTTACAGTTTTATTTAGTTAACGTTACACTGGGTTTGAGATTCTGGGGAGTGTGTTAACTTACAGTATTTAATAAGCTGTCAATAATTGCATTGCACATTACATAGTTGTGCTCTGTAAATGAAAAGCAGGTTACAGTTACAGAATTCCTTATAGCCATGCAGTTTTATTAGCAACCTGGATTGAACGCAGCAGGTGATACAACATTCGTAATAACCACGAGAGACTTGAGACTTGACTTGGACTCTTGTTCAGAGGCTTGAGACTTGACTTGGACTCTAGCTCAAAGACTTGTGAGCATCTCTGCCAGAAAGTAAGTATGCTTTGGGGCGGGACTACCATGTGATTGACATGTCGCTACCATGGCGACCTGTCAATCAGATTAGAGGCGACTTGTATCCGCTGCTGTTTTTTTTATTAAATGGCTGTCAGCAGGAGAGAGAGCATGTCATATTTGAGTGACTCTGAGTGAACAAAGAAGTCACATCATAGAACACCATAGTTTGTTCTGGGTCCTTTGATCTATTGACTAGACAGAGGACAACTATACAAAATAGAATGTTAGTTACGTACCTTAACTCCAGATTCTGTGAGTATAGGCGCAGCTGTGGGCCCCCCACATGTTCCTTTAACTTAGCTGAAGAAGTTAAGTTAAATCTTTTAGTTTTTTGCTGTTCCACCTTGTTATGTCTGTTTGTTAACATGTTGCTGTAAAAATAA